AGATACTAACGTAACAGTTGATTATAAGAGAAAACTAAGAATGCGCGAGATACTAAGTAACGGAACAATCTATTATAAAAGAAAACTTAGAATGCGCGACATACTAACGTAACAATCGATTATCAGAGAAAACTTAGAATGCGCCAGATACTAACGTAATTGTTGATTAAGAGAGAAAACTCAAAATGCACGAGACACCGACGGAAGAATTGATTACAAGATTGAGGAAACATACTTAAGCTCTGTGAAAACCAAAACAGTACTGCGATATACGCACGATATATGCTTTTAGTAATAATTGATTATCTTCAATATAACATATTTGTGTCTCCCATGCGAGGTGTCCAGTCCATTTGAAATCGATATGAACATTCTTCTGCAATGTGAATTTTCTGTACACGAGTATGTGAATAAAGCTAGTGGCTCCATTAATCAAACTCCCACAAAACAGCCAGAAATGTAGGATATGTTAAAAGCCACAAAGATTTTTCTTAGAAAGTAAGTTCATTTTCTAAGTTTTTATTTGATCTCTAAAACTGGTGAAGTTGACAAAAAAAAATTAAATATTTACCTTTAGCATTTTGTCCACGCCTTTTAGTTCGCTGGTCTTCAAGTTCGCTTGTTTTCCAACGTCATCTACTGACCACTCTTATCTCAGATCTAGGGTTGTCCACTGTCCATGAAAAGGTGTCCACAGGCCACCTACCGAGGCATGTCCTAGGGGCATCCTTCCAAGGCTTGTCCACAGGCCCCCTTTCAAGGCTTGTCCACAGTCCACAGACCACCTACCAGGGTTTGTTCAGGCCACCTACCAAGGCTTGTCCACAGGCCGCCTTCCAAGGCATGTCTACAGGCCACCTTCCCAAGCTTGTCCGCAGTCCACTGGCCACCTACCAAGACTTGTCCACAGGCCACCTTGGGCAACGATTGCCCAAAGGCTACATACCAAGGATTGCCACAGGTCACCTTGGAAGGCTTGTCCACGACAGGTCACCTTCCAAGGCTTGTCTGCCACAGTTCATCTAAGAAGGCTTGTCTGCTGCATGCTACCTTCTAAGGCTTGTTCACCACAGGTCACCTTCCATGGCTTGTCCACAGGCCAGCACCCTGTAAACACAACAGCATGGAGATTAAGCATATTGATGTATAGTAGTTACTAATAGATTTTTATACTGTCATGAAAAGATTTCTGTTCACAAAGTTTCCATTTTTTCAGAATCAAAATGGAAGGATGTAAAATGGCTTATTTCCATGCTCCAGTCACTGAACTGAAAAAATCAATATTCAAAATATTTTCACCCAAGTTATCCTCAAAAATGGTTTTAATGGCGTATTTTTTTCCACATGCCTTTACCTTTTGACCCCTAAAAGTGACCAGCATCTAATTTCTCCTTACGATATTATCCCTGAATGACATGTTAAGGTCACAAGAAAATAGATAATGATCACCAACTTAAGAAGCTCTCGGTTGTTGAACAAATTCTCCTTTTCAACAACTTAGGAACTTTATAAAAAACAGTATGGAAAATATGCATATTGATGTTAGGATGTAAAGGGTTAGAGGTTTTTTTTCTTTGTAAATATGTCCTTTTACAGATGGGGTTAAAGTTTTGAGGTAAAAAAAAAATTAAGAAAAAGCCTGCCAATTTATTTTCAGCTAGGGTATCAAGGCTCTTAACATGAAGGCTAGCCATTGTCCCTTTTGCTGATAAGACTCAAAGTATCTTAACATCTTGTTCTTGATTGCTAACAGTAAATAATCCTTGTTCCACAGCTGGTAGAAGGGAAAATGTTAAAAAGCAAAGAGGGACCATGTGAGACCACGGAAAAATGTATTCCCTAAGTCACCCCCTCTTCACCCCTACCGTCAGGAAATTCATTGCCCTTCATCTGGAATTTTCAATCCCTTACAGGGGTGGGGGCTTGGAACAATTTAAGCCCAAGACAAAATATTCAAATTTAAGATGTTAGAGATTATACTATTTTCACTCCTTTGAGTACTTTTTCATATCTTAGGTCATGCAATGATAAAAATTTCAAGTTATTGCATTATATCATCAATTGCAAACTCAGTTCGTATAAGTGACAATGCTTTGTAGAATAATTAGAAAGGTAAGCGCTCGTGCTCAGAATGCAAAATATTTAAGTCTCTTGTTAAATACTAGGAACTATGCCTACAGAATTGCAACAATCTGCCCATCAGGCAGTTTTCAGGTTTATTATCCTTACCTCAGTTACCTCTGATACTTGACCTGAATGTCACATGTGTTTTCCATTTCGGAGTTTTCTAGCCGCTGTACCGTAGTTTTCTCCCTTCAAACTCCAGAGAACGAGAGAAATGTGAACTAGAAAGCAAACAATACTTAAAGTCTCATTTTTGCTCCTGTTTTGGAACCAAAATAAGCGATTCCGTCGATCACTTACTAAAATAATTGCGCCGCCATGATGAATTTACTCTTAAAACTAGTTACCAGTATACTTCGTTCGGAAAAACACCCTCGTCACGCTTTACGCGAAATTGCGCGGTTAAACGCGTTTCGTGTTCAAGAATTTATCTTTTATCTGCGATGACTTGGAATCGTTGTTTTCTTTCGTTCAAAGAGGATTTAAGGCTTTTTACCTTACTCACAAACTGGAGAAGCCTACTAAGCTGGTGGTTTAGGGTGAGCTAAAATGCCATGAGCGGCAAAACCGCGAAAATTGAGTGATGAAGTCGCGAACAGGAAAGTGTATTCCATCCTCGCGCCTCTCATGGCTGCGCCATTCGCGGCTTGAAAACCGCCATTGATAAAAGCTAGTATCAGGGACACTATATTCACCTTAACAGCCATTTTTGGGGAGTTCTCTGTGGTAGAGGAGGGCGTTACGTGACGTCTCAAAGGAACGACTGCGAAGGAGACTGAAAGCACACAAACTGGAAACCTACCGCAAGACATCTTCTGCATTAATTGAAAGCTTCTAAACGTATAGAATTATTGCATTTTAATTTGACAACGCGCAGCCCTCCTTGGTTCGGCCTGTTTACCTCTCATTTGTATGACACACACGCTCTCTTTTATTAGTCACGCAAGAAAGAAGTTCCTTTCTGCGTAGAAATCATTGGCAGTTTACTCATAAAAGGGAAAGTTTTAAATTGAAAACAGGCCCTTCCTGACAGCGCGCAGGGATCTCTACAGTCAACACATAGGTACTGGTGTAGCTTTAAGGTTTTTCGTGCTCTTTGAGCTTCAACGGCAACCGAAAAAAAACAGCATAGCTTGCGCGGAATTTAGAAGACTCCGAAAAAAGGCATTACTTAATTTGACACGCAGAAAATAAAGTTATCGGGAAACTTTTTTTTTTAATGTCGATACAAATCATTTTGGGATATATGAAGACTATGAAGTTAATTGTGGGCACAGCAATCGTGCTATAGAGAAGTATGGCCGACATAAATCGATCGAGCGCACATTTGATTGTTAGCATCATGCTGAAACAAATTTGCGCTCGATCGATGATATTTTGCGCAAGGGCGAATGGCGCCAACAGATAAAGAGATAGAAGCAATAAACCGAACACAGTTGGAAACTGTGTTGATCATTGACTTTAATATCATGTGGTGGCTCCTAAAAGAGCCGTTTGTTTTGGCGGAAAACCCACAAAGTTAGTTTACTTGCTGCTGGTGTACTTGGTTACGGCCTTAGTTCCTTCACTCACGGCGTGTTTAGCCAGTTCACCGGGCAAAAGCAGCCTGATAGCAGTCTGGATCTCGCGAGAGCTGATGGTCGACTTTTTGTTGTAGTGGGCAAGGCGAGAAGATTCCGTGGCGATGCGCTCGAAGATGTCGTTGACGAACGAGTTCATGATGCCCATGGCTTTGCTGGAGATACCAGTGTCAGGGTGAACTTGCTTCAACACCTTGTAGATGTAGATAGCATAGCTTTCCCTTCTCTTTCCTCTCCTCTTCTTCTTTCCATCAGTAATGGCTTTGGCCTTTCCGGCTTTTTTCTCGCCTTTCTTTCCTGCAACTTTGGCTGGCATCTTGGTAAATCACAAAGATGAATAAGTTCACAGCGCAACTCGTCTTGTATTTATAACAGAATTGTAAGAGGATCTATTACCATACGGATCGAAATTCTCGATAAATGATTGGCTAATTTCTACGCTGACCCTGGGGTCAATTAGTATTGTCATTCTTTCTATGCCAGTATTAAGAAATTTTAAAAACCACAACATACTTAAAATTGATTGGTGCTTTTCGATCCATCTTGCATAACAAACGAACCATAAATGACAGGATTATGTGTAATCCCATCATTTTCAGTGAAATCATATCATAGTTAACATGTCTGGTCGCGGTAAAGGTAAAGCTAAGGGCACCAAGTCCAAGAGCCGCTCATCACGAGCAGGGCTTCAATTTCCTGTAGGTCGAATCCACCGTCTTCTCCGCAAAGGCAATTACGCTGAGCGAGTTGGTGCCGGTGCTCCAGTGTACTTGGCTGCTGTGCTTGAATATTTGAGCGCTGAGATTCTTGAGTTGGCGGGCAACGCTGCTCGTGACAACAAGAAGACAAGAATCATTCCCCGTCACCTTCAGCTGGCTGTGCGTAATGACGAAGAGTTGAACAAACTGCTGGCTGGTGTCACCATTGCACAAGGAGGTGTTCTTCCGAACATCCAGGCTGTGCTTCTGCCCAAGAAGACCGAGAAAAAACCTAAGGCTTAAATCAACTTCAACCTTAAAAAACGGCTCTTTTAGGAGCCACCACATAATACAAAAGTCTTGACCAACGAGACAAGTCGCTAACCTATTCAACAACAACAAAATCAAATATAATATCACTTCGATACTTTTACGCGCTAGTTTCCGCTAACGGGCTGGTATTTTTAGAGCCCTTGAATTTGGATGAGGGAAAAATCAAGTTTATTACTGGGTTCGTTTAAATGTACGCTTAAAAGATCAGTGAAATTTTGCTTATAAATAAATAAAAAGGAAATCATGGTTTGGAATTTCATTGCCTCGAACGATTTCGGCTCCCGCACCTCAATCATTAGCAGGCTCAAAAGTCGCGCCATTTTCAGGGTTACAAAATATACAATAAAAATTTTTTGGAAGCTTAAAAGATCGACTGATTTTATATGATTTCTCTTTAGAAGGAAAGAAGAAGCGTAACCTTTTAAAAATATCTGTCTCTCTGAGTGTTTTGACAAAGAACGCGAAAATGGGGGGATTGTTTGAGCGCTAAATTTTTCAGCCGTGACCCGCGAGTATTTGAAAAAGGTAACGCACTTCCAAGAGGAGTATCGATCTATGGCTCTAACAAAAGCCAAATAGGGATGGTACAAGAGAAGTATTGGAGTATTTTCCAAATTATCAAAGAGCGAGTTATATATGCGATTTAATTCGCGTCATAAATGAAACACTTAATTGATCATGACTTTCTTTATATTTGGTGGCTCCTAAAGGAGCCGTTTGTTTTGTGTCAGGAGGTTATGTCTAAC